GTGTTATTTGAACAAGAATCAACCTGCAGTTACTTCAAGGTCTGGTCTCATAAACAAATATTAGTTTGTTTGTCCTTTTTAGAACAAGCTGCTGCTGTTTGCCCAATGGTCACCTTCATCTGTTAGGTCTCAAGGATTCTATGATTCCATAAACAAAAATTGATTTAAAAAATGAAGATTTCAACAGTGGCACTCTACTTAAACCTTTTGAAAATCTAACTACATTACCTCTAATGGCTCTCCTTCATCTATTTGTATCCTCAAAAAAACTAACAGGTTGTCAGGCACAGTTTTCTTTTCATAAGATCATGATGGCTCTATCTGAAGACACTACGATTTTCAAGTGCATGTTAAGACCTTTTACGAATAGATGCTATCATTTTCCTGGCAATTAATGTTAGGCCATCTGGCCTTGATTGTAAGACCGAACAAACTTAGGAGGATGAGTAGGCTACCTGGCCTCTCCAGTCTGCTTCACCATTTAGGTCATAGCTAAGTTGATTGTGGTCATAACTTCACTTTACTGCCAGACCCAATTAACTCACTTGTCAGTTAAAAATCTATCTAACACAACCTTGAATATGTATTGCTCCCCATCTCGGACATAAATGGGGAGTTCCTGGTTTTTAAATTGTACACTCTGGTTCTTGATTCCAACCGAATTCCCCAGTTCTCCTGCTCCTTTCTTGAAGAGCATTGTTATATTTGCTAAATTCCAATGGAACTACATCAGAATCTAAGGACTTTTGGACAATCATAACCATCTATTATCTCTGCAGCTACCTGTTTTAGAACCGTAGGATTTAAGTGATCAGGTCCCAGGGATTTGTCAGCTTTTAATTACCTTAGTCACTCGTTCTTTTCTCCTCTGGTATTAATTGCTTTAAATTCCTTACTGTTACTAAGCCCTTGGTTATTCTGTATTTTTGATGTGCAATTTTTATCTTCTACAACAAAGGCAATACAAAGGGATGGATTTCCACTCCTGATGTAGGCCACTGGAGCTGGGAAATTTTCTGACCCAGCATATCCATCTCAGTTTAAAGCATCCAGAATCTGGTCTCCCCAATCTACCATAGTAGTAGTTGCTTACGAGATGGAGATGAGCTTGCTGAATCAGGAAACAGAACCCAGGTGGCCAGGGATGGACAGTGTACCTTCTGGGAAGCAATCAGGCCAGTAACCCTTATCCGTCACACTTGGACATCTCCTCACTTCTAGTGTTAACTCAAAGCTGGAACATGTGCACCTCACCCACTCTTCATAACCCCCATAACCCTCCAAGCCAACTCATGCCCCTAACCAATGTCCATGATTGTTCTTAGTTGGCACAGCAAATATTTGCCACCTTGTGTCTCTCATCCTATAGAAACTCATTTTTAAAAATTATTTTTTCATGAGATGTGGGCATCACCAGCAAGGCCAGCATTTGTTGTCCATCCCTAGTTGCCCTGGGACTGAATGGCTTGCTAGGCCATTTTAGAATCTGGAATCTGGAACCATTCGTAAGCTTGACCAAGTAAGGATGGCAGATTTCCTTTCTTAGAGGGCATGAGTGAACCAGATGGCGTTTGGTGATAATCGATTATTGTTTTAAGAACATAAGAACTAGGAGCAGGAGTAGGCCGTCTGGCCCTTCGAGCCTGCTGCGCCATTCAATAAGATCATGGCTAATCTTTTCGTGGACTCAGATCCACTTACCCGCGTTCTCACCGCAACCGTTAATTCCTTTATTGTTCAAAAAAATACCTACCTTTTCTTTAAAAACGTTTACTGAAGTAGCGTCAACTACTTCACTGGGCAAGGAATTCCATAGATTAACAACCCTCTGGGTGAAGAAATTCCTTCTCAATTCAGTCCTAAATCTGCTCCCTGTAATCTTGAGGCTATGCCCTCTTGTCCTAGCTTCACCTGCCAGTGGAAACATCCTCTCTACTTCTATCTTATCTATTCCCTTCATTATTTTATATGTTTCTATAAGATCCCCCCTCAATCTTTTGAATTCCAATGAATATAATCCCAATCTACTCCGTCTCTCCTCATAAGCCAACTCCCTCAACTCCGGAATCAACCTAGTGAACCTCCTTTGCACCCTCTTGTTTTGTTGTCACCTTTACTGAGACTGTTGTTCACATGTGATTTTGTTTCATGAATTTCAATTTTGGCAGCTGCCCTGATGGTACTTTAATCCATGACCTTGGAGTATTAGCCTGGTTCTCGGCATTACAAATCCAGTGACATTTACACTGCATGCCAACTCATGACCCCAACCCACTTTACCAAATCCTCCATGCCAACTTGTTGCTGGACTCATGCCAATAGCCTTTCAAATCTTTGATATCAATCCACCCAGTATCTATCATGGGCAGACCTCAGGAGCCATGTGGAGAAGAAACAAAATAAACTTCTAAAATAATGACTTTGTAGTACAACACTTAAATATTACTGAAAAGAGAGCATTTACTGAAGCTTTTCATTTTGCCTCCATCAGGAAAATACAAGAATGCCAAAAATCAAATTATAACGGGGGAAAGAGTGTTGATTGGTTTGCAAGTTGACTCTGGTGGAGATGTTGTCGTGGAGAAAGCCACAGGGAATTATAGCCTCCCTAAGCTCTAGGACATTTCAAACGAATGTAACGCTTGAATAAATTTGTTTTGATTGCCGACAATGATCTCTGCATATGTTGCATGAATGAATCATGTTATGAGCTCAGCTGAATATCCTAAATTAGTACAATCAATTGTTCAGCAACTAATGCCCAGTATGGAATCCCATCGTATGGTCAATGTTTTGTTTTGGATTTTGCAAGTGTGGGCTATTGTATATAGTTTGGACTGTTCTTATTGCTGACATCCAAAGAAACATGCTGTTTGATCTGATGGGCCAAACACCAAATTATCACACCAATTTATATTACAGGGGGAAAGAGTGTCGATTGGTTTGCAGCTTGACTTTGGTGGAGATGTTGCCATGGAGAATGTCACTTGGGATTGCACTTGTGCTGATAGAACAATGTTTCATGGTAGCCGGAATGTCATTTTGAATTGATGGCAGCAGCATCCAGTCACGTAGCCACTGTGTAGTAGCAGAATGAAATGGCATCCTTAAATCGTTGTTCACTTCAGACTTTGAAAGCGTCTGGACTACCTCAAGTTAACCTGAAAAAGCAAAGTATGTCAAAAATTTGAATAATAATTTATTGGAAGTGGGTGTGGAATTTCTGCATCCAGGTCTTATCACCATCATTAAAAGTCTGCAAAATCTTGCCAATTCTCTGAAAATCCAGTGCAAAATGTGGTTTCAATCTTTGTGCCATTTCTGCATTCCCCATGATACAATTTTCCATCTCTGCCTTTAAGACACCAGCATTCACTTTAGCTAGTCTTCTTTTATATGCTTGTGAAAGCCATTATATTTCATTTTTATATTCCTAGCTGTGTTGCTCTCATTTCCACTTTTCTATTTTTATAAACTTTCTGTTTTTCCTTTAGTTTAAGAAGTTCTTCTAAATGCAACATTATAAACTTCTTTTAATTTATTACTACCTCTAACTTCCTTAGAAAGGTCTAGTTAAATCTTTCTTGCTGAGCTTTTTTTTAGTGGAACTTATTTTTGTCAAACATTTTGAATTTTTCTTGATTTGTTTCCCGTTGCTTACCTACTACCATCACTTCTGGTCTATATATCCAGTTACCCTCAGCTATGTACTGGCTTTGTTTAAGTATGAGACTTCTTTTGGAACAGAGCATGTTCTCAAACTTTCTATGGAATTCAGTTGTATAGGGATCACTTTTTACAAGGGGCTCTTTTATACATTAAACCTGCCTCATAATACAATGCTACATCTAAAATAACTTTATTCCTAGTTGGTTTCACCAGTGTTGTTCCAGGATATTATCGCAATGCATTCTATTAACTTATCTGTAGACTTACCATTGCCAATTTAATTTGCCCAGTCTACACACGGGTTGAAGTCCCTCATGATTTATATGTTACCTTTGTAGAAACTCCAGTTTTTCTTGTTTAATACATTGTCCAATGGTACAACTACTGTTAGAGAGCCTATGAGCTGCTTCTGTCGCAATTTTCTGTGGCCATTGGTTTTTCCTAATCTCCAGCCATGCTGATTCAAATTCTTGACTTTCTGAAATAAGGTCCTTGCAGTCGATGTTGTTACTATTCCTCATCATTTTCCATACTGCCAGTATCTTTGAAGCATTTTGCAGCCAGGAATATTTATTTTCCAACTCTTTCATTACCATGCAAATATGTCTCTGGAATGGTTCTTGGAACAAAACCATTTATCTCTATGCAATTAGTTTATCTATTTTGAAAATGCTTTCTGTGTCAGAATAAAGAGCCTTTTATAATCACTACTCTTTGCATGGACCTTAGTTGCTGATTTCTGTTAAACTCTCTGTCCTGCCTGTCCCACTGTACAAAATCTGTACAATTCCCTTGACTTATTCTCTTGAGATTTCAAAATCGTCCCAACCTGATTCTTCCCACCCCTTTTGGTTTAAGGACCTATTCACTACAGTATGTGGGCCTAGAGTTATTGATTACAGTGGATGAGATTGGGATTATTGATTATGGTAGAAATGATGGGGGTTTTAGGTAACTGAGGACCAGGTAAGGATGGCTGAAGGACATTAGTGAACCAAATTGGTCTTTATGAAACTTAATGGTCATCATTAGACTTGTAATTCTAGATTTTTATTGAATTCAAATTCTACAATCTGCCAAGTTTTGAACTCAGGTCCTTTGAACATTACCAAGGTCTCCGGCCTGGCGATAATATCACAGGGCCATCGATACCCCTGTTAATTACAGTGGTTGTGACTGCTTTATTGACCACAGTAGGTGAGAATATCTTGCAATAGGAGAGACTGAGATTATTGATTATAGTGGTGGGATAGATGTTATTGATTAGAATAGTGGATTTGTAATGTTGTTTTATCCTGCAAATACTGTACTATGCATTTCTTCTCATTCAGGCTGGTGTTTATGGCCGCTGTGGGAATGGAGTCTTGGCTGTATATTATGTAAGTTGTTCTCCATTTCTGTTTGCATTCTCTTTGATATTGTTTGTATTTCATATTTGTCTTTAGCCTGTTTCTACCCCCTTTTCTTCATTATATTTTGAAAGCTAAGCTGGTCACCTGGTGTTGTAAGAATTGGCAGATGTGGGCCAGATTTGGGTTTCTTCCCTTTCTACAGTGTAACTAAACAAAATCCTAAAATCATAGAACCCCTACACAAGCCACTCAGACCCACCTCCTTATCCCTGTAATCCTACATTTCCCATGGCCAATCCACCTAACCTGCACATGTTTGGACTGTGGGAGGAAACCAGAGCACCTGAAGGAAACCCATGCAGGTGCGAGGAAAATGTGCAAACTCCAATCAGACAGTCACCTTAGGCTGGAATTGAACCCTGGTCCCTGGCACTGTAAGGCAACAGTGCTAACCGATATGCCAGGTAGTCAAGACTGCTTAAAAAAAACAACAAAATTGTGGATGCTGGAAATCAGAAACAAAAACAGAAATTGCCAGGACAAGTCACTCTGGTGGCATCTTGTGGACGGAAATCAAGTTAACTTTTCAAGTCAGTGATGCCTCTTGAGAACAGAAGACTCATGACTTTTTCCAACATCTAAAGCTAACCAACAAAATGATGGAACCCATAGCTAGCCTGCATTCTTTTGAATAGCAAGATAAGACATTGTGTTTCATAGAAGGCAGATCGCAATTCGTTCTCTTCATTCACACTCAGGATCCGGGGTGGAAAATTCTACACCGCTCATAGAATTATTGGAATTCCATACTAAGGTTAATTCACCTAGCCTGCACATCCCTGGACACTACGGGCAATTTAGCATGGCCAACCCACCTAAATTGAACAGAGTCATGGAGTCATACAGCTAATGCTATTATCTTTATTCACCGTAGACCCTTCTGGCAGAAACCTGGCATTTCAATATTGTATCAGCGGACATAAATATTTGCTTAAATTGAATCAGGATCTATCTCTGGGAATAATTCTCAACAGTTTCCAGCAGGGAGCTATTAATAATCAACAGTTGGTTGGTAAATTAAGTGTCAGCGTGCAATATCATTCATTTCATAACTGCAGAGCTGAGAAAAAGATTGTGTTCACAACGTCGTATATCCAGACCTCAGTGGTTGTGGTACATTCTGCCAGTGGTGTTTAGAAAGTTAACAGTGAAACAGTAAAATTGATTATTTCTGATACAATGACCAAAGCTTGATATTTACGATCCTGCATTCAGCCATTGAATTCAGTAATATAAAAGAATTCCTTGGAAAAGTCACAAAATTGTGTCGATTTCTTTTGAATTGTGGTCTGAGTTGCTACAGCATTATTTCTTACTTCAGGGACCAGGGTTTGAAGCAAATGAGCTAATGTGATAAAAGTTTCTTATATCCAGTTTTTATGTGAAATGGGTTTGACTGACCCTTGAGTCACAGCTGGTTATATGGGGATCCACAGCATAAAATCTCTCACAATTGAAACTAAATTCATAGATTCCTTCAGTGTGGAAGCAGGCCATTCAGTCCATCGAGTCCACACCGACCCTCTGAAAAGCATCCCGCCCAGACCCACCCCTCTAACCTCTTCACCATGGCCAATCCACCTAACCTACACATCTTTGGACTGTGGGTAGAAATAGGAGCACCCATAGGAAACCCATGCATGGAGAGAATGTGCAAATTCCACATGATAATTTCTAATTCCAGATTTATATATCTTACTGAACTAATTTCCTGGTTGTGGTGGTGGGATTTGAACTCATGTCTCCCAAACCTCTGGATTACTGGTCCTGTAAGATAACTACCAATAAGAACTGTGTCCAGTTCTAGTTGCCCAGTTATAGAAAGGATATTATTAAGCTGGAGAGGGTTCAGAAAGGATTTACAAGGATGTTGCAGGTATAGAAATTATGAGTTATAAAGAAAGGTTGGATAAGCTGGCACATTTTTCACTGGAGCGTAGGAGGTTGGGAAGCGATACTATAGAAGTTTGTACAATAACGAGGGTGTAGATAGAGTTAATGGCATTTGTCTTCCCCCTAGGATGGGGGATTTCAAGACTAGAGAGCACATTTTTAAGGTGAAAGGAGAGAGATTTAAAAAAGACAGGGGCAAATTTTGGATAGAGGATGGTTCGCATGTGGAATGAACTTCATGAGGAAGTGATGGATGTGGGTACAATTACAGTGTTTAAAAGATACTTGGATAAGCACACGAATAGGAAAGGTTTGGAAGGATATGGGCCAGGAGCAGGCAGGTAGGACTAGTTTAGTTTGGGATAATGTTCAACATGGACTAGTTAGGCTGAAGGGTCTGTTTCCATTCTGTATGACTCTGTGACTCTGCAATTTAGGTGGGTTGGCTGTGCTAAATTGCCCATAGTGTCCAAGGATGTGCAGGCTAGTTGGATTAACCTTGGGAAATGTCGGGTTAGAGATAAGGTTGCAGGTTTGGTGTGAATGGAATGCTGTTTAGAGGGTTGGTGTGGACTTGATAGGTTGAATGTCTTGCTTTCACACTGTAGGGAATTCTATGATCCTAATGTTGATAATGGTGGTTGTGACGATCTTTAACTTAGAATCAGTAACAATAAGGAAAAATTGTATTTACTTTAAAATGAATAGAATAGAATTCAAATTTATTGAGATGTGCTTTTACATGAAAAATACAGTGAAAAGTTTTATAAGTTGCCTACCACAGTGCCTATATAAATGACAGAAATCACACATGATAATAAAAAGGTAAAATTAAGACAAAGTTCATCACATTTCGGTTAATGGCTCCTGGGTTCAGGGAAAATCAATTAAGGAATGATGGAATACCCTGAAGACACAGCCAGGATGAGACCGCCACGCTGTGCTACTGGAATACTGGGCTGGAAGCTTCCATTGCCATGACAGGCCGAGATAGCCAGTCCTGGATGAGACTGCCTGCCGGACCGCTGGAGTACCTGGAAGATGAACGAGACTTCTGCACTGGAATGAGACTGCCACACCAGGACAAGACCTGGAAGACGGAGAAGACCTCCAAATGGGGGCAAGACTTCTGCAAGGAATGAGACTGCCATGTAAGGCCACTGGAAGCCACCTCGTTGCTTGGCTGAGAGAAGCCTCTCTTTCCCCATTCAACACTCTTGAAAATTCTACTGCTGATCTGCTGTCTGTCCGTTTTGCTGACACTTATGCTCCTTCAGGCACCCGAGCCGAGCTGTGCACATGGAGCCTCGGCTCAGCCTGTGAGTCTGAGATGGGGGTGTCAGCCTGGGACCTGCTCCTCGCTCGTGGGAGACCCTAGGCTTGGGTGAGGCATGTCAGTGGAATCTGTAACTGTTTTTAAGCAATTTGGAAAGGGATATTTAAGAGTTTGTACCATTTGTAAAGTGATCAATTGTAATCTTTTGATAAATACTGGTCCATGTGACCTGGTAACCCTTGACCCAAATGTACTAGCAAGAAGTAGGTTAAAGTACAAAGGCCACGTGAGAGCCGCAAGGATAGTAAAAGAAACAAGAATAAGAGACAAGCAGAGGAGCTTTGAGGAGATTCTGGAAGGAAATGTGACATACAGAGAAGATTGCAAGGGTGGAATCCTGCTTGCACGAAAACTACTGCTCGTGGAGAATTAGCTGTGTCTTCAACGAAAGGGACTGAAACTGGAATTCTGCTTGGAAGAGCTATATAGGCAGCCAAGACTGATAATATTCATGAGATAGTCTTTGTTGTGTCTGCCATTCTTTGTGCAATTTATAGTTTCTAACACTCATGATTTGCTAGTTAATTCATGGTTATTTAATGTTTATTTTTAATTCATGTGAGGGTAAAACCTGGAAAACATGAAATATTGTTTAGTAGATAACTTCATTTGGGAGTAGTTCAGTAAATTCAGTTCTTTTGGTTTAGATTCCCACGGGAATTGTAGCATGAGAATGTAACAACTAGCTTGTTAAAAAATGTCAGAATCACTGGTATCTTTTAGAGAAGGAAATCTGCGTCCTTACCTGGCTGGTTTGACTATACATGTGACTCTAGATCTAGATCTAACGTGGCTGATTCTCAGTTGCCCCCTCAAATCACCTAGCAGATTACTGGGTTGCACCAAGCTGCTATGACAAAATATAGTAAGAGTAAAATTCAAACAGTTGATCTGATGTTAAAACATTGATTCGATGCCTGTGTTCATAAATCTCTGAAATTTAGCATGCAGGTGCAGCAAGCAATTTTGAAGTTAAGCAGTATGTTCACCCTTATTGTAAAATGATTTGAGTACAGAAGCAAAGAAGTCTTGCTTCAGTTTTATAAAACACTGTTGAGACCAAAACTAGAGTATTGTGCGCAGTTCTGGTCCCTTGCCTAAGCAAGGTGTGATGAAAGGTATACGAGTTATGTAAGTTAATACTCTTTTTTTTTTCCAAAGAGTTTGGATTTTAAGCCTATGGGTGTTGGTCAATTTTTTTTTTGTGATTAGGGCACCATGAATTTAAACCAGTATGTGTCAGAGAGCTGGTCTGCATGGCCTTCTAGAGGTTTACAATAGGAGAGAGAAAACATTGCAAGACATTAGCTTGCTTTTGGGTTTAGAATAATCAAGAACTTATTTTTGTTTAGAAAAATGCAGAGACAGGTAAACTTTTGAGCAATTAGAAGGGGACCTGATTGAAATTGAATGCAAGTATAGGCTGTCCTAGAAAAAGATTGTTTTAGAGTTTTAAAGAAATAAGTCACCTCAATTAAAGAGTGTAGATCATGAAAACCAGACCAGGAATGTTTAGTTAAAAACTTGCATTGGTTATTCAAAACTGAGAAAATCAAAGATGTCAGCTCTGCGAGTTAAATGAAAGACTTTGTAACTCATTAGATTAGAACTGAGAAGAAGCTGCTAAGACAAATGTACAGATTTGATGAGGAAACAAATTCTCGAGTTTTTAAGTGTCTGTAAAGTGATGGTGTTGGGTAGCCGATGGGATTTTTGTTTTGCTGTGTTTTGACATTACTCCAGCTGTGGATGTAAATAACTTGGTTTATTTTTATTTTTAATTCTTCTTGTATGTAAAACTTAGAGCTGCAGAAATGATTTAACAATAAAACTATGTGCATATGTTTCAATGAAAATCTGCCATGTTAGATTTTTAAAAAATGATTTACCAAGCCAGATTCATTCTGGGATTGACTTGTCCAGTTGTAATATCAGCTAGGATGATGACAAAACATATACTTCCATAGAGGCAGTGCAGGGAAGGTTATTGCTGAGATGGTGGGACTAGAAGAAGAGATTGAGGAGACTGGCCTGAATTCTCTAAAGTTGAGAAAAGTGGGAGAGAATCTCTTAGAAGCCCAAAATTCAAAAAACATGCAGTGGTTGTCTCCAGAAGTGAGAATGTAGCTATCTTCCCTTGATAGTTAGTGGTATCACTACCATCAAGTTGCCACCACATCCAATTGGGTCATGATTGATCAGACTGAATCAGCTACAAATACTGTAGCTATATAAATCAGGCCAGAAGCAGAGAATGTCTCCTGCACAAGGCACAAGTTAGGATTGTGATCAAATATTCTCCAATTGCATGACTAAAGGCAACTTCAGCAATACTTAAAAAGCTTGACGTCATCCAGGACAAAGCAGCTGCTTGTTTGGCATCCCATCAACTTCCTCAAAGCATTCACTTCTTTCACCACTAGTTGCAATTCTTATAATTTGTAAGATACACCACAACAACTTTTTAAATCCTCTTCAACAGCACTTTCCAAACTTACTTCCCCTAGCACTTCGAAGGACAAGGCAGCCAGTGGACAGGAGCGCCACTGCTGCAGATTTCTTCCAGATCACATCCTCACTTGGAAAGGTACCTCTGCTCCATGTTTGTTGCTGGGTAAATTTCCTTAAATTCCCTTTGTACTAGCATTTTCAGAATATTTTTGCCATATGGAATGTAGCTGTTTAAGAAGGCAGCTTCCTCACCTTCTTGAGCACAATGGACAATAAATGCTGGTCTAGCCTCTGATGCCCACATTTCCATTAATGAATAAAAATGAATCTTCCTTCCAGGATTAAAAGTGACCGTTAGTTAAAATGATTTATTTATTTGACTTGATAGATTATAGATAAATGTTGAAATGTTTCATTTCTTTGATTGGTTACACATGGATCAGACTTTGTTCAGATT